TGGATTCATTCAGTCACTGGTTGGATTCATTCGGTCACTGGTTGATTCATTCGGTCACTGGTTGGATTCATTCGTCACTGGTTGGATTCATTCAGGTCACTGGTTGGATTCATTCGGTCACTGGTTTTCATTGGCTGATAATTATAAACAAACACAATATTGAGTATAATCTGTTTTATTATGAAAATTACATTTATATCAGAAATTTCATTTATTTTTTACACATTTATGGATACTGTTTATAGTATTTATACTGTTATAATATTTATTTTGTTATAATATTTATCTGTTTATTATATTTATACTATTTATAATATTTATATTGTTTATTATATTTATACTGTTTATTATATTTATACTATTTATAATATTTATATTGTTTATTATTTATACTGTTTATTATATTTAGACTGTTTATAATATTTATTCTGTTTATAATATTTATACTATTTATAATATTTATACTGTTTATTATATTTATACTATTTATATTGTTTATTATATTTATACTGTTTATTATATTTATACTGTTTATAGTATTTATACTGTTTATTATATTTATTCTGTTGATAATATTTATTCTGTTGATAATATTTATTCCAGAATCCTTTCCACTGTTTTTTATTGTCTACAAATGTAATTGTTGTTTTAAAGCTTAATCAATAATAAAAACATCATTATTTATTAGTTTCTTTATATTTTATATGAAAAATGTGAATCTGCAAAGTAACTAAAGTTATTAAATACATTTATTATAGAAAGTATAAAGTTAAAGTATTTAGTTACTTTCCACTGCAGTTATTTTCAATGTTGAAACTCAAAGTTTTATTTTTACTGTAAATGTATATTATATATAGTTATTGGTTTCCTTCATTACTAATAATCAGTATCTGAACATATTGATCGATCCCTAAAACACATAATTAAATGTTTCCCAAATAAAATCATAAAAACTTCATGAAGAGTAAGAAACTCGAACTTGAGTTGTCGGCCATGTTCTTCCTCCTCCTCCACCTCCTCCTCCTCTTCCTCCTCCTCCTCTTCCTCTCTACTGCCCACTCCCCCGCTCTTCCACCCCTCCCATCCTGCTGAATTTCTCCAGTAGATCTTCCTGGTTGAAGGCGCCGTCCAGCGGGCAACCGTCCACCAGACTGTTCATCGGCGCCGGCGGCATCGTCCTGCCGCAGTAATCCTCCTCCACGCTCCCATAATCCTCTGCTCCCAGCCGCCGCCGGTGGTGATGAGAGGCGGAGTAAATGTGAAGCGGGCAGTCGTCGGCGAGGTCAGAGGTCATCATGTCCGTCTGGTCGAGCTGGTCCTCTAACTCCTCGCCATCGTCCCCACAATGCACCTCTCTGTGCCACCAGTCGGACAGGAAGCGTGCGAGGACAGGAAGGAGTTTCCTGCGAGAGGCCAAAGCGTTGCCCTGGTGATAGGCCAGGATGTCCTTATATGGGCTGCTGAGAGGTGAGAGACAGGGGGCGGGGCCATGGGCGTTCAGAAGGGCGTGGCTAATCTGGAGGCAGAACAGTGGAGAATTATCGGAGTGATAACGGACACACAATAAGTCAAACTCTAGCCCCTCCCACCTCACCCACCTGCTGCCTGTACAGCGAGCTGGAGCTGTAGAGCGCCAGCTGCCTGACGGGATCGTCTGATTGGGCGTTAAAGGATATCGTCATGGCGACTGCAGCGTCCAGCCGGCGTGACAGGCAGAAGTCGTAGAGCTCCTGCTGCAGATTCTTCCTGCACAGGAACGACTGCAGGCGACATGAGGAGGACACGTCACCACAGGCAACTACAGCTCCCAGAATGCACCACTGTGCTGCTTCAGACATCAGCATAATGAATGTGTTTGTAGTTCACTGAATGATAAACATGCTGTATAATAAAGTTGTGTGTTTGTAATCAGTGCGCTCTGTTCACTAACTAATGAATCTTCACTCTG